AAACTATGTAAACTTTAGGCCATCAAAAATGTTGTGCAACCCCAGGGGACACAGGTTGACGGTCGTTCATATTGCGAGAATATCTGTGTACACTAACTTAACTTTATCAAAGTTATACTAAAGCCAATTGGGAATTGGAGGAGCTTTATTATTGCTGCATTAAATGCGAACTTAAATTCGCTTAGATTTCAGTCTTTCAGAGGCCAACATACGCGTAAGCCTCATTCCCTCTCTAATTGCTTAACGACAGACGCTCGTATCTAAGCAATTTAATTTGTTGGAAATTAACTTAGAGGTGTGCAATGCTATAATCCTTAAGCAAATTGAATATGTCTGAGGATGGCTTTCATAAAGAGTATGATAAGGAGAAAAGCCAATCAATTCAATTCGCTTGGAGATTTCGCTGAGCGGCATAGGTTCTCTGTTAGCTGTTACAATGAAGGAATACTTTAATTATTTTGTGCAAAGTTGGCAGAACTGAAGATAGGCATAAGAAAGTTGAAATTGGCATTGATTATATTTGTATACATCTGAAAACCTAAAAGAGCTATTTATAGAATATATCAAATATACTCTAAAGTAATGCAAAGTCGAATAACGCAAGCTCAAGTTTCTCCTGAATATACATATATGTATGATTATTATAGAAAACTTTTTATCGGTATAATAGGTTTTCATCTCAAGAAACGATATTATCAAAGATATGACAATAAACTGGTGTGAGATTTGAAAAGAGATTATGAACTATGATCTATGTATAAATGAATTTATAGGAATTTCGCAGGGAAAAAATGAGGTCTGGGCTCTTTTATAATGTATGTGACATATGTATATGCACATATGAATTACTATACAAAGAATTTAATAACTATTACCTGCATCATCTGAAAATCCTAAAATTATGTTATGAATACATATAACAAGTCTGTGAAAAATGCAATAAATATTTATAGCATTATATAATAACTGCTTCAAGTTGTTGCTGAAAAAAACACACACTATGAAGTATACTTGTCTCGTGTGTGACATTAGCACATAAATTGCTGGCGAAGTGCACGCAATGGCTCCAGCTCCAGCTCCAGCTCCAGTTACGATGACCACTCTGGCCAATTGGCTGCGGGCACTTGAGAAGTTGCTGGGAAAATGGCAATTACCCATCAGTTTTCATTGTTGTAATGGGAGCCCGTCACTTCGAATTGATTTACGAGTGTGTTAGTGAGTAGGAGTGTAATGTAGCCTCTGTGCGTGTGTGTCGTGTGTGTTGTTCTGGTCTCCATGTCTACTTGTAATTAATTCAATTAGCTGTGCGTTTAACCATTCACTTCCTCAACAGATGAACAGCTAAACAGTCACATATTCAATCATAAAGGCGGCCTCCAACTCCAGCAGCAGCAGCAGCAGCCGTCGACAAATAGTCAGGGGCAGGTTCAGGGCCAGCCGCCCCCACCTGCACCGCTGGCACCACAGTCGCCACCACAGCTGCAGTTGCCGTCGTATAATACTAATAATAATGCAGCGCCCGCTGGTGCCGCTTTGTATGGCATGTCGCTGCCACGCTCAGGAATTTATCTGCAGCAACAGCAGCAGCAGCAGCAGCCGATGCCGCAGCAGCAACAGCCTCAGCAAGTTGTTAACTGGCCACAAGTTGTGGCGCCGCCAGCTCAAATTGCTGTGCAGCAGCCGCAACAGCAGAGCCACGCCTACATAACCGCTGCAGCAATACCAGCACCAGCAGCAGCAGCGGCAGCAGCAGCTGCACCACCACCAGCTCCACCAGCACCACCAGCCCAGCCAGCTCAGCCAGCGCCAGCGGCAGCACAGTCGCCACAGCAAGCCATGTTGCCAGTGTTGAATGCAGCGCCCACTCATGACAAGAATCAGGCAGCTGACGAGGATTACGATGACTACGAGGAGGATAAGTCTACAGAGCCGCCCAAGAAGGTGAGTTGCAAAGTGCCCAAAGTACTTCTGCCCGCTTACTCTAGAGATCTCTTTTGCAGAAGCAGCACAAGCACAAGAAAGCCAAGAGCAAGACGGCCAAGGATCCCATCGAGCTGGCGCTGGAGCAGAACAAGCAGCAGCAGCAGCAACAGTTGCCGGCGCCCGTTGGTCCCGTGCACGAGCAATACAAGCTGATACACGAGAATCTGGCGCTGGAATTCCGAGATCACGATGGTCACTCCGAGCGTCCCGGCGGTGCGGTGCTCTCCCTAACCCTGGGCCTGCTCGTCACTGCGGCGCTCTCCATTCTGATTGGCTGTCGAATGCGCACAGTGGGGCGACGAGCACGTCGCATGGGCGGCAAGACGCCCTACTCCCAGGAGGCTGACTTCCTCGTCAATGGGATGTATCTATAAAGCGGGGAATCTGTCGTAGTTTACCACATCAATATACATACATATAAATATATATACCGATTTTTGTGCCAGTCTCGTTAGGGTTGGGGGTTTTTGGTCTCATATGCGCAGCTTGCCTCAAGCAGTCTGATGCCATATGATCCAAAGTTAGTTAATAGAATTGAATGTCAAACATATTTTATATAAACAATTATATATATACAAAATAAATAAAACTTAATTTAAAGTATTCGATTTTGCTGAAAACTAAATTGTGTTTTAAAAAAAAAGGCAGTGTCTAAATCCTTTTTTTCATGGAATGAATATACTGGGCACATGCTCTAGAAATTAGAATAAATTAATAATTCACTCTTATCGAACCTATTTTAAAATAAATTGTTTACACTTACCAGGATTCTAAAATCAATTCCATAAACATAACTAAAACTAGTCAAAAGAAATTTAATTATTCTCCATCGTAAATTTTAATATTATTTTTTTTTAGAACAAATCAAATAAATAATTGGCATTTGGAGACGCATTTGAATTACATTTTTTAAATAGTTACCTTTATTTTGTTTTTGTTTTTTATTATTATTTAAGTTCTCTTGCTTGTAAACTTGTTTACTTATGTTTTTGTTTTTTCTTTTATTTGAGTCATTATAACTACAAAATAATAGGAAGTTTTTCATTTTCTTTTTTCTTTTTTAGCTTTCGTTTTATAAATTTTTGCATTTTGTTAAAAATACCACGCAAATTTCGTGAATTTTATATTTTGTAATATTTATTCATGCTCGCATTTCCATTAATAATACACAATTTTTACAGCACGAGAATAGCCAAAGAACAAATTTGACGCTTATGGATATCACATTAAAACAAAAACTAAATCAAATTGTTTATATAATTAACAAAAAGTTGTTTTATAATTTGGAAAAAGTTGTGTCTTATATTGTTGTATAAATATATTGTAAATCGTTTTTACATTGAGTCTTTTTTTTTTTTTTGTAAAATTTTTTGTTTTTTTTGCGGCCAGTTAATTGAAAATTTCCACAAAACTACGAAATTTGCTGCCCTGACGATTTGTTATTTGTTTTGTTTGCTGTGTTAATAAGTATATTTACTAAAATAGGCTTTGTTTGTTGTTAATTGTTTAGCTCCATTTTTACTTAACACTGTACAGATACTCGTAATGTAAACTAATTGTATTTATAATTATTTATTTATGTAGTTGATTAGTAAATATGCCAATGTGAAGTTTAATGATGCGTTTTTTATGGTTCAATATGTTCTTATTGCTGTTTCTGTTTTTGCTGATTTGCTGAGTTGCTTCTCAAACAGACGGAATTTTGAACACGCAACCGCAAATGGTTTCGCTTTCATTTTTACAATCCATTTGAATGCATAATTAATTATACATATATCCAACTAGAATGCGTGTGAGTGGGATTTAAATAATGATTAAGTTACAGACAGTTCCAGGAAAAATCATGTTGACTTCTTTATATGACTTGTGTGGTCTAACTATTTACTACTGTTAGTTGGTTGGTTGTTGCTGCTGTTGCTTTTGCTGTGGTTGGTTGCCATTGTCTCCTTGTGTGTTATGTTAAGTTTATAGTTAGCGTACATTAATATATTTATTTATAATTTGCGAATTTTCGTTTCTTGCTGCAGCTTGTGGTACGTGTTTAATGCTAGGATCTGCGCATCATGTTGCGTACCTGTGGAACAGATCGACATTAAGGGCTGCTCGATAAATGTATCTACGATCTCGCTTACCGCTTTGTCCAAAGACGCGCAATTCGATCGTGCTCCTCTCGATTCTGCAAATATTGCGTGGCAATGCTGCCAACCAGAGGATCAGCTAAAAGCAAAGAGATGACACGTTATTTACCATTAAAATGGATTAGGCATTAACAATGTACTCACCAGGATTACAATCTGTGAGCAGGGAACAAATTGAGAGTAAGACTTTTGATATGGTCAGCGCCGGCGACCAATTGTCCTTGAGGATGTCCAGACAAATGACGCCCTGGCTATTGATATTGCAGTGATAGATCCGAGTTCTAAATGTGACTTTGGGCGGCTTAAACGGATACTCGGGCGAGAAATGTATGTCCAGGAAGAATACGCCGCCCTCATAGACGGATCCAGGTGGTCCCAATATGGTCGAGACCCATTCATACAGATTATCACCCTTGGGACCGGCACTGCAATTGGGCGGCGGATCCAGTGTGATTTCAGCCAGTTCCTTCTGTATGCGCTTGGCCGACGTGCCCAGTGCTTTAGATATTCGTGGCGTTGACTTCGTATCCTTTCGTGGCTCATCGCTGGTGGCGGTTGCCGTTGAATTGTTGCTGCCCGAAGCAGCATTGGCGCCAGCACTACCGCCATTCGTATTGGCGGCGCCACGCCCGCGTGCGGGTGTGCTTGCGGCTGTGGTCTGGTTGTTGGAGGCAGTGCTGCTAGAGGAGCCGGAGCTCGATGTGGCCGCAACGCTGGAGCTGGTGGTACTGCTACCGGCACCAGACGCTGCTGCTGGAGTTGAGGACATGATGTTGCTTACAGTCTTTTTGTATGGTGTCTCTTAGCTTTAAGGAGGGCTGCAATGGGAAATCAAAATCGATCAAATATGCCCGCTTTAATGCTGATTCAATAGAAACATATTTGTCATCAAACAAAGGAAGCACTCTGAACAAAACATAGATTAAGAATCAAACTCCAAGTTATCAGACATTCATAATCTGGCGTTGCCACCCGATAAAAAGCGAAATTTCGTAGCAAATAAGAAAAGAAAAAAATCAATTCAATTGAATGGAAATGCCGTGACGACATAAAACATTTGAGACAACAATTAAACACAGAACTGAACTAGATTATTTGCCATTGAACTAGATGCCACAGCACTGGTGCATCTGCGACAGGTCCTTGACCCGTTTCGCTGTGTGGCGACAATACGCAAACAAACTGAACAAAATTGAGAACCCGAAAGCCTCATGCCACAATCTATTCATTTTAAGCCCCATCGGATTAAATTTAATCACCGGAGCGCGGTGCCCGTGCAGAGAGAGGCGCAGAGACGAGCGGCCATTTTGGCAAGCGTTGCCGCCGCTGCTGCTACTGCTGCACGCAGAGGGGCAGAAGCGGTGACGGTAACAGCAGCAGCGTTTGGAGTTTGATATTGGCCATGACAAAGGCCGTGCTGTAAGCGCCTAGTTGTTGTGTTTAATTTTAGCGTTTGCTGAGAAACATGCAGAGGTTGTTTGCTTGCACGCGGATGCAGTTAAAAAAAATCAATCATCTCATGCAGACATTTGCAAAACGCGTTCGGTACAATGTCGCTGTCGCCTCGCTATCATTCGCATGATTGCACAATTTGAACCATTAGCACTATGTTGAACTTGGACAAAGAACTGCACGGGGTTAATTGTACGATACGCACCTTTTGCAATTAAAATTTGATTATTCTTACGTCGCGAAAACACTGCAAAATTGTTCTGCTCCCTGTAGTCGCGCTCACTCTCTCGCCTCTCTTTCTTGTTCGCTGTCTCACACTTGGCCGCGTTGTTTTTGCTGTGCTGTTCTTTGTTTGGCAAGCGTTGCCTCACGCGTCGCACTTCACACTTAAATTGTCCGGTTCGTTTGCTCTTTTTAAATTGTAAATTCATTAAATTTGCTACAATTGTTAGGCTGGTAGTTGTCGAACAGTTAGGCAGACAAGCGGTCGACCGCTCTTGATATTTCTTTTGTTGTTAATTTTATATCGATGCAGCGTTGTTATCGATAGCTGCTAAGAGCGTGTACAATATATCGCCGGCAGTTAAGCTATTGCAATAATATTAGTCGATAGCTGTTATGACAAAAAAAGTGTAATTTTATTTAAACTTAGCGCCGTCTAGCAGTTACTATATATAATTTGTATATGTCCAAATTTTACTTTGTTTCCATATTCTCAACAGTGGCTTTGCTCGATTTAAACACACGCACTGTGTTATCCGCACCACCAGAAACAATATATTTGGGATTCGACCAGTCAATGTCCAGAACCTTTTCGCCATGCCCAAGCAAATCGTAGAGCGGTGCCTTGGGACTTCTGCAATCCCACAGTTTGTTCTGGTTATCATATGCACCCGATACAAATAGAAACTCCTCCGTAATGGACCACATCACAGTCTGCACCCAAGCATTGTGGCCCAGGTAAGTGCTGCGTACCACAGAACCCTCTGAAAAAGGAGAAAAGATTCATTAATTCAGTTTTTAAAAATTCGGACGTAATTTGAGTATGACATACGGTTTGTCCGCGCATCATATAGACGCAGATTTTTATCCGCCGATGCGGTAACAATTAAGTTATTCAATTTTGAGTAACTGGCATCGAAGATAGATTTGTTGGTCGATATTTCTGTCTTTATACCTTCCAGGTTCAGATCCCAGACTTTGAGCGTGTGATCCCAACTGCCAGTTAGCAATGTATTGTTGTCCATCCACTGCACTGCTGAAATGCTTTCTCGATGACCCTGCAGTGTCATTCGCGGCGTCTATGAATACAAAATTATAATGATATGCAGTTTATGTATTAATGTTAGTTTGAATCCGACATACTCTAACGCCGCTCTCTTTGGCACGCTTGGCAGTGCTCTCGCCAACATCTTCTAGTTCAGCTGACCATATCTTAAGCATCGTATCCCAGGAACCAGTGGCAAAGCGCTGTGCATCTGGACTAACACAGACACTATCGACGCCGCGCTCGTGACCCTTACACACGGATACACATTCTACGGCGTTCGAGGCGATATTCCATTGCCACATCATGGCTGTCTGATCCTGTGAGGTGGACACAAACCGGCCGTTTTCGTCGTCGAGTGATATCCAATCCACAGCCTTGATGGGCGCCGTGTGTCCGGGAATGGTGAGCTTATGCTTGCCCTTGTAGGTCCAGATGTTTAAGGTGTTGTCGTAGCAGCCAGTGAGTATCCATTTCCCGGATGCTTTCACAGTTGACACCCAATCGTCGTGCAGTAGACAATCCTGCGGCTCTGGGGCTGGAAATCGCTCCACATATTCAATTTCAATGGAATCCTCAAAACTGATTGCCTTCTCGCGCAGATGATCACACAGTCGACCGCGCAGATACTCATCGAACACAAGAAAGTCAAAATCTACGCTTTCAGCTCCTTTACTCTGCAGTAAGGCATTCAGAAATATATTGAGTTCCGTGGTTGAAACGCTGCCTTCGATCGCATATGGGACGTCGGGAACAGCATATCTGAAATAGTAGTTGTTAATAGTAAGATTAAGCTATTATGGTTGAAATACTCACTGTTCTTGTTTGGTTTTCAGGTGTACCTGCACCTGCCCCTCGCCGTTTTCTACTTCCATCTTCCCGCACACGTGCGTTTCAATGCGGTGTTTTTGTTTCGGTTGTGGGACTTGCGGCCAGCAGCTGAACTGTTCAGATGTGTTGCTCAGAGCACTCTTTCGGCCCTATACAAGACAGCGGTGATTTTTAAAATAATTATCGTTTATTTTAATTAATAAACAATTATTTATAAAACAAATCGCTAAATAATTGTGGTGTGCACAAAGATATTAGTGATGTGAATATGCTCGATATATCGATACTTTAGCTTAGGCAGTGCAATTGCAATGAAACTACCGGCTAAGCTGTGATTACAAAATACACTGACTAAAGAGTATTAATACTAAATATAATTATATTATTTGAATTTTTAAGTATGATACGAAACGAAAACCATAGGATCTACAATGCTAAGGTATCGCTACCACAGCGCAACAAATGGTGGCGAGCTGCCAACTTGGGCCAATCAATATACTTCTTATCACTTTATTAACATGTTATCGGGTATTTAAAAAATTACCGCCAAAATCAACCGTTTGCAGACAACATATATATTTGACAAATTACCTATTAAATGCAGATGTCGTTACCATCTCTTACTTAATCATGTATATCTTATGCAATTCAAACGTGCAAAAAATAGTAATATACCCAAAAACTTAATCGTTTATTAATTAATATTGATATGCGATGCGCTATGTTGCCAAAGAAACAAGAAAAAATTAAAAAAAAAAAATAGCTGCAGTTGCTGTTGACGGCTTACGCAAAAATATTAAAAACCATAGCTGGTTAGCAATTAACAATTCGGTGGCTCTTCAAGCCGTGCGCAATTGTTCAACTTCATTAATGCTGCCTCGCTGCGGCCATTAATGAACCAAATAGCAATGCCTACAACAACTTGTCTGCGCATTGGAAGGTTAAGCGCCTCTTGACATTTCTGTTGTGCTTTAACCTTCGCAACAAGAGTGGTCAAATGCTCAATAATAACCATTTTATTATTTGGCTGCTCTAAAAATAATCAACTTTTATGGGTCGCTTGGCAAAAAGTAAATAAACCAAAACCATGGTAATTACTTTAAGCTCTTTCATTTTTTACTTTTCTTGTATTTGACTGATCCAAGAAAAATAAAAAAAAAAATTAAATTAAAAACCAGAAATAAACAAGCGAAATGTTTGCGGGCGCCCAGTGACTTTCCAGCCGCAGCGCCGCTTCCAGTGCGCGGGCTCAGCTTATAAAAAGCGTGCGGCGCCTGCGCAGCCGAATCATTACAACAAAGCTAACGCGCCAGGTAAGACAGCGAATGCTGTTTACAATATAGCGAAACAAAAGCATAAAGCAAAAAGAAACCAAAGAAAAGAAAGGCGTACTGAATAACTTGAATGAAACGCGCATCTCTCCTGCAGTTAATAGCCAAAATGAAATTCTTCGCGCTGTGCTCCGTGCTGTCCGTGCTGCTGCTGGCTGGCAGCGTGCGCTGCTTGCCACAGACCCGTGAGGGCGCCGCCTACTCGAACGAGGCCATCCGACAGGCGCAGCAGACGCTGCTCATACCCAAGGATGCCCAGATCCAGAACGTGCAGGAGGGCATCGAGCTGGGCGCCTACGAGCAGATACCCGGCAACCAGCGCATCAATCTGTTCGACATTCTCGGCGATACGGTGCCATCGGAGGTGATAAACAACCTGCAGACGCAGGTCGATCAAATTGGACGCAATTAATGGCAATCCCATAAATCATGCGATTTGGATATTTGCATTTTGTTAAGTTTACAAACCCGAAAACAAAACTAAAAAATAAAAACTAAAAATCTTATTTAAGTATTACAAATGTGGCTGGCTTTCATTCCCATTAACTTTGACTCTAGCTTGAACGAAAGCGAAAGTCTAGCTCCTACAAACCTGTTGCTCCTCTAATCGAAAGTGCTTTTTTGGGTCTAATAAACGGCACGAAGACGCTGTGGAAGACTTTCTCCAATTGGTATCCCGCGGCGCATACGAAATTAACTAAAAGTTCGCTGTCAGCTCCTCAACCTTATTGCATAAGACTTGCTTTTGTTGTTGTTGTTGTTGTTGTTGTTTAAGTGTATTTTTCATTACAGTTCAATATATTGAATGTTTGTCATTATTGTTGCCTGCGGCGTAAGCCGAAGCGCCGCTCTGCGGTCTCCGTTGCTGCTGCTGCTGCGGCAACTTTTGCCTGTTGCCGTTGTGATGCAACAATCGTTGTTGCCGTCGTCGTCGTTGACTGTTGTCGTGATGTTTGTTGTCTGCGTTTTGTTCATTTAATTTCTTGGTAATTGCCGCCGCATGCACTTGCATATTTAATGAAAAGTCATGTGGAATTTTGTTGATATTGTTGCTGTTGCTGTAGGTGTGTTCAATTGCGCAATTGCTGGTAGGACAAGTGTGCGTACACAAATCTTCTTCAGTTCAAGTTTTGCTTGCATCAATCCGAACAGCTGTGCCTCAGCGCTCTTCTATGCGCTTCTCATGCTCTTAAAAGTGGCTTGACATGCATTGATATGTTGTTGTTGCCATGTCACGTTTCCTTATTTCGCATCGTCTCTCTTTGATACTCATGCTCTTAGCTTACTTTCTTAACTTTTTATCTTCGAACCGATTTGCCATACTTATCCTCTATACTCTACTGCACTTTTACGATTTTCTAAAATGCCTTTCACTCACTTTTACTCTCTCCTACGCGCTTCACAGTGTATGTTTCTCTGCTCTACGTCTCTCCTTCCAATCTTATGCTCTCTTAAGAGCTTCACACGCTTATGCATCAGCCTGGCAATACATATAAATAAGTTGGCGTTGATACTTAAACTATTCCACATCAAACTGAAAAGCGAACGGCGATATTTTATATTCCTCTCACGTTCTCAGCTCAATCCAATCAAGTTAGCATGCATATATTTTTCCACCTATTCGATCAGTTCCAACTCTAGAGTCTTCTGCGTGCGTTTCTCTCACTAGAGAGTGAATTGTAGTGAGTGAGAAAAGTGAAAGACAATTCCTAGGAACGGCCTCTTCATTCCCTTAATCCTTGCTCTTAGCTCTCCTAGACGTTTTTCATTTAGTAAAATGCATCTTCTTGTCATAATTAATTATTTACTCTCCCTTGTGTTCTCTTTCGATTTCTGCACTCTTCTATGCCCTTCTCATACATCCAATTATCACATGTTTTTATTACTATTTATATATTTATATAATCTTTATTATTATTCGTACATATGAAAATGAACTTGAAACTAAATTTACGCTAGTTAAAGTACATTTGTAATATATATTTAATTTTTATATGTTGCTATTTTCCGACAATTTGTGCGATTATATGTTTGCTTAACACAACTTAGCTTAAATAAATTATTTTTTACTTATATATTTTTTTTTTTTTTTTACTTTTTAAATGGTATATTTTTGAATTAGCCTAAGTACTAAAAAATGACTGCACTTTGACACTTTTTTATATTTAAATGAATTTTCTGAATATATATTTATTTGTTATATGTTTCTTTAATATATTTAATTATTAACTAAAGTAATTGCTTTAAATTAAAACTTTCAATATTCAGTCTAAACTTAAAAGCTTTTCAAATCGAAGAGGACTATATAATTTGCATTAAAAAAAACATCACTAGAGCATTTGCCTTGCGTTCCATAGTACTTTTTTTTATAGTTTATGCAATAAATTAAATATTAAATAAATTCATAGTAAATAAAACAAGTTAAATAAAGTGTGTAATAATTTTGTATGTGCGTATGTATGGGCGTGGCAATGTTAAATGTGTTCTTAAGTCATAAAAATGTTTTTAAATTTCATTAGTTATTTTTGTATATTTATTTATGAATAAATAAATTCTATACCTAAGCAAATTTCACAAAGTGCAAAGTGCTAAAAATATATTTGTATTTTATGTATTTAAATATTTATTGCATTTGGGGAGCCCAGCTTTATATTTACCGTTAGTTCAATTGATGTAGTCGTTGCTGCTAAATAATGCTTAATTTCTAGTTAAATTTTAAGTTTGATTTGCATTAAGAATTGAATTTGCAGTCGGTGTAAATTAGATTTTCTTTTCTTTCTTTGCTCTTGCTACTTAAACTTAGGACTTTTCGCTCACTTTGCATTTAGACGGCGCACTTAATGATCGATAACTGCCTATCGATATCGATACACAATTCTTACAAGTATTAGGGCTACATATAATTACTAAATTTATGCTTTACGTATGAGAATTACACAAAGATAATAATAATAATAAAAAAAGAAACATTTACTTGAGTAATACTTTAATTACTTGATAATTACAGTGGAATTATCATGGCATTTAGCTAGTTGTTCGCCTTACTCAAGCACTTGTGTTTTCTTTTTCCCTCCTCTACTGAAGTAATTGTCTTCAATTACTGCTCTGCTACGTTTCATATAGTATTTATATACACCAAAATCTTAGTTGTGCTACCTCGACTCACTCCCTCTCAGTATATTCGCTGCAGAAAGAGGCGCTCGAGGTGATGTGCCGCACCCGCTGCTCGCTGCTCGACGAAACTCTTCTCGGCACGCGCTGTCGCCTTGGTCTCGACCACATTGTCCGCCTGCTCGTGGCTCTCGTTCAACTTGAGACTCTCAGCATCGGCTTTGGGATCCGGGGCGCCTTGTGATTGGCCAGCGCCGGAGCCGGAGCCGGAGCCCAGCTCGTCTATGTCCACGGTGGGCAGTCGCTGGGCGCGTGGCGTTGTTGGCTCACGCAGCTCCCCTTGGCCGCTGCCCGTGTCCAGCTCGCCGCTGGTCTCGTTCTCCGTCTGCCTGGCACTGATCTTGGCCAGCTCGTTAACGTTCTGTATGCGGGTCTCGGCGGAGCTATCCTCAGCGCTGTACATCAGCGGCACTTGCAGAATGGTGGCCTTTTCCAAATTGGTTGCTGCGCTCAGCATGCGTTCCGTTGTGGAGCCGAGATAGAACTCGGAGTCGCCGCTGCCGCCGCCACTGCCGGCGCCGCTGCCATTGCCGCTGGCATCCAAGCTGCTCTCCGTGACCAGCTTGGTGCGCTTGTTGTCCAGCTCAAAGGGGCTGACAATGCTGCGCTGCTCATCTTTGGTCTCCGCCTCCACGATCTCCTCCAGCTCGACCAGAGGAAAGTTGACATCGCGCAGACTGAAGTCGTCCTCGGGCAGCGAGGGATATGCGGGATTGGACTCCACCTGCGGCACATCCTCCTCCTCCATGTGATGCACGGGCTGCGCAGTGCTCGAGGCTGGCAGCTCGCTGCTGCTGCTGCTGATGGCCATTAATCCCTCCGTTGTCGACTCCTGCTCGAAGGTTACATTTGAGATAAATGTGGAGCTGTAGTCAGTGGACTGCATGGGCCCCTCTGTGCTCGAGATTGATGTGCGCTCCGTGCTGCTGGGATTGCTGCTGCTGCCGATGCTGCTGGTGCTGCTGCCGGTGGGTCCTTCTGTGGTGGAGATGATATGGTAGATGTTGTCGCTGCCCGCCGTGTCCGGCTCTATCTCCGCTGCATTCTCCACAAGCGCATCTCTGAAGCCACTCTGCAGGAATATGGAGCTCGCCCCGATGGGCACGGCCTCAGCTTTGCTGCCCAACAGCCCAGCCACGCCCTCTGTGGTATACTCCCGCTTGATGTTCACCTTGCTGGGATCGTTCTCGGCCAGCGGCTGCAAGCTGTCGGAATTGTAGGTGACCAGCGGCTTGTTATGCGAGAGCGGCCGTTCAATGTAGCCGACTGAGGCGATGAGCTTTAAGCTCTCGCTGCCGTTGACTGGAAGTGCTTTCGGGTTCGTGTCTTGGCTAGGCGTTGGTGTTGCCGGCGAGTCTGTTGCTGCTGCCGTTGGCATTGCTGCTGCTGTGGTGCTAACCACCGCTGCGGCAGCGGCTGCTGCTGTTGTTGCTTCACTTGCCGGCATATCTGTTGCTGCTGTTGGGCCATCAGCAACAGCTGCTGCTGCAGTGGGTGTTGCTGGTGCTGCTGCTGTTGTTGTTGTTGTTGTTGCTGCGCTTGTTGCTGCTGTCGGTGCCTCGGTATTGGGCACCTTGCGCGTCGGTATTGTCTGTTTGACCTTGTGATTGTCATCAGTTATGCGTATCTCTGTCGGCTTGGTAATCTCCTTGATGGTTATATTCCAATTGAAACCAGCGGGCGGTGCAGCCGGCGCTGGCTTCGCGGTCGACGGTGCCGCGCTGCTCGACTCACTGGACAGCGGCGGATTGTTGTCAAGAACTGCGGAACAGACAAGTCGAAACGGCTGTGAGCAAACGGTCGAGATTAGTTATTATCGGAGTGCTCTACTCACTGGGACAGTTGTCGTACTCCGGACAGCAGCGGCCGGGCACGTATTTGGGCATGCAATCATCGCGCCGGAAACAGGTCACAGGGCTGCACACAATTTCTCCACCTGTAATGAGATGTTACCATAATTATGCGATTGACTATAAATTGCAGTTGCCTTGAGCGAAACTAAGAAACGGGAAGCGGGAAACGGGAAACGGGTTTCCATGGTACAGAAAAAGTTAAGCTTAAGAAAAAGCGAAATCTGCCTGGCAAATTAGCAGCTGAGAAAAGGAAAAGTTATAGAAGTTTGTTTCTGTAAAATATTCAGATATTTGTATACCCTGACGCAATATTCTTGCAGGATTCAAGGATATCTTATAGTCAAGCAATCTCAACTACATGAGCATACAGATGCGAAGCTAAGTTAATTTATAAAGCCATAGTAAGGCTTACAGTTCGAAATTGAAATGAAAATTTGAAAAATTTCCCTTCCTGGTTAAAGCCCAACTCAATGTTCCCTCTTTGATTGTTTTTTTTTTTTCGGCAGTTTCAAATTTCATTTATTTTTTGTTTTTATCGAGAACAATGCATATTTTCGCTGTGGCCTTACCTTTGCAGTAGCACACGGTGCAGGGTGTGTCCGGATCAACCAATTTATAGCCGTTCGCATAAGTCTTGCCGTCCTTTTGGCAATCTGTGTGGGCGAAAGAAATAAAAGGTAAGCCCTAAAATGATGCAGAAGCAGCAGGAGCAGCAGCAGTTTGCATAAATGCAACGAGTGGCAACAACTTACCGCATTTATAATCGGGGCAGCAGTGGCCGGTGCGCTGAATGGCGCGGCAGCTCGTCTGCTTCTCGCAGTGCACCGTCGTCTCCGGCACCCAAATGCCATCCAGCAGGCATTGGCCTGTAAAGCGGGAGAGGAGAAGGAGTTGGAATTGTTTGGATTTTCCTTTTTTTCGAGAACAGATTTTGGTGTTAGCTAAGTCCAGATACTTACCCTGCGGCTGTTGCTGCTCCAGCAGCGATTCGGTGGTGCTGCTGCCACTCGAGCTAATGCTGCTTGGCGTGACCGCGGCCATGACAATTGTAGAGGATGCGCTGCTGAGGCTGCTGCTGAGGCTGTCGGTGGGCACTGCAAGTAGAGGGCAAGAGGAGGCAAATTGTATAATAAGAATCAACAATGGAGGTGGGAGGCGACCAGGCAGCCAACGATGCTTGGCGACTAGGTACATATTTGAATGAATGACATTTTGATAACAGTTTTCTTCTTCTTTTTTTGCCTGTTGTATATTGTTGTTGTTGTTGTTGTTGTTGTTGGGCAAGGTGAAATGCTAACAAAAATGCGGCAAAAGTTAAATGAGTTTAGTTTTAGTTTGCCTCTTTTTGTTTGCTCACAGCCTGAAGGTGGCTAGGGCAGGGGGCGTGGCTGTCCAGGATGTTGTTGCTTTTGTCAGTTGCACTCGATTGTGCCCAACTGGTCCGCCCCTTGCCCTAGCTCCATATCTATAGCCCGCCCCTTATCTAATACGAATTGTTAGGCTGTCAACTGTTGGCCAGCTCTTGAATTTCATTGGCAGAAAAACCCTCAAATTGTTGTCCCTTGTTTTTCCGTTTGTTGTTACATCATCTACGCTGCTCGCCTGTCATTTCGGACCCATGAAAAATGATTAAATATGCGCCTGCATTAATCATACGCACTGTGTGCCGAATAATTTCTATTTCCCAACCAACTCCTTCACAATTTCAGGCACGCTTGTGTCCCCTAAATTGTTGTTTGCCCAGCCAGTCGCCTCATTAGGCAACTGCATATGCTGCTTGTTTTCATTGTTTGGCTGTGGTTTTTCACGCAAAATGGAAAAACAGATATATATATATCCGGGTATATCTGTTTACAACTAGCCAGAAACATATCATATACACAGCGGCCAGTGGGTGTTGTTCATTTTCTTAATAAATTGTAACAATAGACAACAACTAATTGAGCTATAAAAATATGATTTACTCTGCTCTGGCGTAAGCTAAAAAGGTTTGCCATACTTAAAGTAATTT